GTACAAAACGGCCATATTCGGAGCGCGTTCGATTGGGGAACCGTTTGTCGCAGCTTCTTCGGACCAAGACCATTCGATTCAGTGTTACAAACGCTACGTACCCTATGATTTTCAGCTCGGTAAACCTCGAGGTTATACCGTATTTTAGCCGTTTCCGAGTTGGACTTTTTCCGTCAGCGCAGCATGCCTCTAGCTCTACGGCTCTAGCAATGCGCTGCGTGCATGCTAGCTGTAGACGTGTACGGTGTAGTGCAGTCAACAAACTAGACTCATCACACACGGAACTAGTCCCGCACTGCCGTGCTGGGCTAGCTCGCTACAACAAGACTCAGAAAACTAGTCAACACACGGACGTGTCATGTACTAGTACTACACTCGTACAGTCATGCAGTCAGAGAACGTGCGTTTCTCCTTGCCGGTGCCGGTGGTTGTGCTTTGAGAAAGAAAATTTTAGTTTTCCGCTCCAGTCCGGCCTCATTATTTTATGCTACAGCGATGAGTGCACAACCGTGACAAGTGACAAAACAGCGAACAGCTCCCGGACCTAGAACTTTCAGATTCCATAGCGTTGCGAGCGAAGAGTCGTGCCCGGGCCATGGTTCAAAGAGCCTGCACTGTTCTCCAATTGAGTAGTCCGAAATATGCCAAGTTCGCACCAAAACATCACCATGTGGCAGGCTACTGGAGTCTAAGCGAATCGGTATGGAACAACATTTAGAGCACTCGCATCACTCTTCTCCATTTTGGCGACCCTGCTCTTCAGCGATCTGATAATTATATCAGCCTCGTCTGCAATAGCTACTGCTTCTTCATCAGTCGGAAACTCAGTAGCGCTCACTCTTGACCGTCCCGCGCGGCCATTTCTTCAGCTGGATACCGAGGTTCTCAGCCCTACAATACCCCCCGACCAAACCCATGAAGGTCAGCCATGGCTGCATCCTCACTCTCACAAGGAGTTAGGTCTTGGGGTCGCTTGCACCACCTAATATCAGTCGCCAAATCATTTGAAATAGCACTGACACTATTGCTTTCACGCACTCCTTTTGACCTAGCTGCACGCTATGACGTTGCGGAGGGTGTGGCGCGGCCGCATGACGTCATGGCGCAGCCCCCGAAACTCAGTTTTTCAAACGGAAATATCTCGAGAACGCTTTGTCGGAGACACGTGGGACCAACACCATTCGACTCAGCGCCCGAAACTCTACCGACCCTGAAATTTAAATTTTTCACCGGACTTCCCCTTTAACGACAGATTTCTCCTCGTTAACTCGTTAGAGTTAGCACTTTGTTATTTGGCTTTTACAGCATACAGCATATGCCATGCATACATACAGTATGTGTGTTCGATTATCTGGTTCCCTCGCCTATCCGGATATTTTCGTGGAAAACGAATGTGTGGTCTGACTGTAACGGCTCCACTGGTTCCAGAGTACCATGATGGAGTACTGAGAGACAAGGATTCTCACAGCATGACTGTAACCATTCTCATGCCACCCACTGCACTACGAACAGGGGCAGCCTTCTGCCTGGTCCACACTGGCCCGATTTTTCGGCTGATGATCTGACACCGACTCCCACATGAAATCGGACATACATTGTATACACAAACAGTAACAAAACACGCACACACCATACCATACACATGTTCAGTTCGATTCCATTATCGGCCGAACAATCGGCCGAGAGTGGACCAGGTATGAGTTGCAGATGAATGGTCTTCATTGCAATCGGCCAATGCGGACTACTGTCACTCCTGTTGATGCTAGACTGCAGGATGCGCTTGCCGCCTTTCCTTTCCTGTTATCGAACCTGCAGTTCCTTCGCTGAAAACGCAGGCTTGATCATGTAATAACGTACTAGACTCCGAATCGACACCCACTCGGAGCAACATCAGACACGCGCTGGCCAGGAGCGAACACAGGCATGATGCCTGGCCAGGAGCGAACACAGGCATGATGCCGCGCCAGTAACACCGAGAGTGGTTTTATCGCGTTGCTGGTTGATCTACACCTACGTAATCTGCTATCCATAGAACTATGCAGACGCAGTCCCAGTCAGTGGTCGCACTTACCTGGCGACGGGTGGCCACCGGTACCGCTTGTGGCCATACCTGCAGACCAGAAGAAACCTTGCTGCCCCAGCGAGGAGACAGACCAACCGCACCAGGCCAAGAGCCAAAGCAAAATGAACCAGGAGACGTACGAGAAAACCTCTCTCTCTCTCTCTCTCTCTCTCTCTCTCTCTCTCTCTCTCTCTCTCTCTCTCTCTCTCTCTCTCTCTCTCTCTCTCTCTCTCTCTCTCTCTCTCTCTCTCTCTCTCTCTCTCTCTCTCTCTCTCTCGCTCTCTCTCTCTCTCTCTCTCTCTCTCTCTCTCTCTCTCTCTCTCTCTCTCTCTCTCTCTCTCTCTGATCTCTGGTTCGCTGCGACTGATAAGACCCGTACTGGGCTGTAGTGATTATGAAAAAAACTGCACAGAAACTAAGTAATAGTTACCGGTACTTCGGTTTTAGTAACTTTTACTAGTATTTGAAGGGTAGGCCTGTCCGAAAAATGTGTTTTAATTTGCGGAAAATGGAAATGCAAAATGCACGGTTTTCCAGCCAACATTCAAAGAAGAAATCAAAGGGGAATGTAAAAAAATTAAAAAATCAAAGCCAAACAACCCAAAACGCAGAGAAATGCATCCGTTGCCATGGCAACCAAAATCTAAAATGGCCGCCATGCCATGGTGATCACAAAAATAATAATTATTGGTTTTCCATGTCACACTGTATTGTATACAATAGTATCCCTGCTTTGCTAGTACAGTCATGTACATGTACCTCTAATCATGTCACATGTACATATACAAGCACTGCATGATCATAATCTTGTCACCCCTTTTGCTGACATTGCCTGACAAGCCTGCAAAGCTAATCATTTTCTCACCATTGCAAGTCACTTGTGTTAACCTTGCATAATACTTTGTAGTACCTGTACCATGTGTACCACACATGTACTACTAGAACACATCTTTGTAGTTTTACATCATCACACCTGCATGTACATGTAGAACTAAACACCCCTGTGTTCGCATTTGTGTGATTAGGAGGCCAGTGCAACTAAGTAAGTCTAGAGTCTCAGCCAAGAGGGACAGAAGACACCGAAATAGCAAGCCGAACTTGACTTGGTCGAGCTGAAACTTGGCTGAAACCTTGGAATTCGACCGAAAATGGGCAAAACTCAGAAAAAATGCAAAAATGCAAAATGTACCCCAAAATGCAAAAAAATCAGAACATTTTTCGGACAGGCCTATTGAAGGTATGCGCTGCAGGATCTGACGACACATGCTACTGATAATGCGTCGCGCTCTGGCACGATATCGATAGTGGAACGAAGTCTGCATGGCCTGGCTAGCTATGGCAGTATGGGATCGGGAGTACTGCCTACTGCAGTACTGGTACTGCAGTACTGCTAGGCCTGGGTCCACTAGTACTACATGTAGTAGTAAGGGAGCATCTCATAAGTTCGCATTTTGTTTCTAAACGTAACGCATTTCGAAACGGGGGTAGGGGGGTAGCGGCCATTTCGAATAGAAAAATGACTGTTCGCACATTTTCTGGAACTGTACAATCTTCTGTGCTAGTGCTAGATCCCTGCAGCAAATGAGTGTGTTTAGGTGGAGATCTACCTGTGTTTGCAGATCAGCTAACCCTTGCACTGCATGCGCATGCAGGCTACTCAGAGGTGTCAAATGTCACACCAGCCTGATCAAACCGTGTACCTGGCCAGCGTTTACAGATACAGCAGTACAGTTGTTGTGGAGGAACTATGCTTATTTGCGTGTACAGTACTACAATACATGTCATTGACATTGATTGTACTTTGTACTCAGTAAATGCAGTACTACTGTATGCCATTCACGACCGCTCCAGCAAAACATTCATGTACATGTACATGTACATGTACAATCATGTACATAAGCATACCATAGCATGGGGCATGGATGTGTACAGTAGATAAACACAGAAAATGTGCGATAAAACTTTCGAATAGAGGGGGGAGGTAGGGGGGTAAAGTCTATTCGAAATGCGTTACGTTTACAAAATAAATGCGAACTTATGAGATGCTCCCTAATTAGTATCCGGCTAGCGCCGGTGCTGTTCCCCCAGTGTTCTGAACTGTTCATTTCTGGGTCCCACCCTCCATCGTCAGTTTTCCCTGTCCTGCGGGGAAACCCCTTCATCAACTACGGTACCAAGCACTCAGTACAGTCCAGGGAGTCGTATTTTTACGACTCCCTGGTACAGTCATAATTATACGTCATGTACATGACTAGCGCCTGAGTGAGTGGCAGAGACAGAGACTGAGACTTGTATGAGGGAGTGCTAGGATCTTTGCGAAAGACCACTGCTTTTTTCTCCTTTTTTTTCTTTACTTGCTGCTAATGTCAGCCATGGACAAAATCACTATGATAAGGTAAATCATTTTTTCTCGCTACAGACCCAGAGTATATGTCCAATCGAGCTATGTCGTTGCTGTGTCATCATCTATGTGCCATGCGCTACTTGATGTACCAGCCTGCTATGCCGGATACCGCCAGCCATGCATCGACCAGGCGCCAGGAGCGAACTGATGGTGGTGGTGGTGGTGAGAAGGAGAGCTCTGTGCCAGAACTTTGCAGCTTAGAGAGCGTGTGTGGGCAGGCGTGTGTTTACCGCCATATTGCCAGGTGTGTCTTTACCACCATATTTATCAACCATAAGTACAGCTGCAGTGGTGTCTTCAATTTCATTCTCCCGAGTCAAGCTCCGTATGAAGACATCCAAGAAGAAGATTGCCTGATGAGTCCAGCGGGGACGAAACGTACGTCGCAATCGAGCTATGTCGTTGCTGTGTCATCTGACAGGGGCGTAGCACCCGCTACGACTGGTACGACCATGGCCGTACCACTTTTCGAAAAGTGTGGTCCGTCTGGAACGTGCAAAACCGTAATAAAAAAATCAGGATCCATCGATGCATACCGGTATGCGCATCAGATTTTGTCCTTTTTCTAGACTCGTACTCGTAGATCTGCCATGCATCTGTGCATGTCCATGCACGTCTCTTCTGACCGTGAAATAATTCTATGACTTTATAAACTGTGCCAGAAGTTCCCAGAACGCAGGATTTGGTGTCTTTTTTACAAAATTTTCCAGGGGGAGGTCCCCCGGACCCCCCTACAAAACGGCCTTCGGCCGCGCCGACCTTCGGCCGCGCCGACCTTCGGTCGTACCACTTCCAAAACCGCTCCTACGCCCCTGCATCATCTATGTGCCATGCGCTACTTGATGTACCAGCCTGCTATGCCGGATACCGCCAGCCATGCATCGACCAGGCGCCAGGCGCGAACTGATGGTGGTGGTGGTGGTGAGAAGGAGAGCTCTGTGCCAGAACTTTGCAGCCTAGAGAGCGTGTGTGGGCAGGCGTGTGTTTACCGCCATATTGCCAGGTGTGTCTTTACCACCATATTAATTTTATCAACCATAAGTACAGCTGCAGTGGTGTCTTCAATTTCATTCTCCCGAGTCAAGCTCCGTATGAAGACATCCAAGAAGAAGATTGCCTGATGAGTCCAGCGGGGACGAAACGTACGTCGCAATCGAGCTATGTCGTTGCTGTGTCATCATCTATGTGCCATGCGCTACTTGATGTACCAGCCTGCTATGCCGGATACCGCCAGCCATGCATCGACCAGGCGCCAGGCGCGAACTGATGGTGGTGGTGGTGGTGAGAAGGAGAGCTCTGTGCCAGAACTTTGCAGCCTAGAGAGCGTGTGTGGGCAGGCGTGTGTTTACCGCCATATTGCCAGGTGTGTCTTTACCACCATATTTATCAACCATAAGTACAGCTGCAGTGGTGTCTTCAATTTCATTCTCCAGACCCAGAGAGTGTAAGAAATGTGTAACGGAACGCTTACCTTAACAGATTTACAGTCAACTTCGCTAATAGTAATAGCGACTGCGGATATAACGACAATTCACGATTAACGAGAGAATGTCCATGCCCAGAGCAAAGTCCCATCTAACTGTAATACATATAATGAGACATCGGGTATAACGACACTTCGCGAATAAGGACACTTTTCTGATGCCCCGCCGAATGTGGTTATACGCAAAGTTGACTGTAGATGTAGGTAACCATGGTAACTAGTACATGATTGTATAGCATGTATAGAATGGATGATGAGCGCTTGGAGTTGGGGGCAGACAAAGGCAAGGTGATGCAGGGGAAGTCGGATGCGCTGGATTATGAGAAGTGGCGATCTGGTAAACTAGCAGTATACTAAAAAGTGAATAAATTTTAAGAAGATCGTTGTGCTGTTGCCCATATGTTAACACGGGATCTTCACCTAAATTTAATTTTCTCAATTGAAAAGAAAGAAAAAATCTCACTGAAGATGCATTTTTTCTCAGATCACAGTCTTGCAAAAAAATACATGTACATGTATTTTTTTTAAGACAACCAAGGCAATAGCCGCTGGGTAGCATATTTGGGTAATCGTAGTAACCTAGAGCATCAGTTCCAAAATGTGATAAATATTTCTAAGAACTCGCGGACTCTATTGCAGCCACTCTGATAAAGAACTAGTGATAATAATTATGACATAACGTGGGTGTCGGGGATTGGGGGGGGGGGGGGGTGGATATAATTATCATTTCAAAAATCTGTATCTGCACTACGTAAGAGATGATACTGACTTCACTCAGCGGAGAGACTCAGCTTGGTGATATTCTTCGCAATGAGCTGGTGCAAGTCCTGCATGCAGAAACAAGCAACAGCATAGAAGACATATTTAACATGGTGGTAAATACACACCTGGCAATATGATGGTAAATACACACCTGGCAATATGATGGTAAATACACGCCTGCCCACACACGCTATCTTGGTTTTTTTTATGGAGTCGTGCATTTACCGCCATATTGCCAGGTGTGTCTTTAAAATAAACTCACTGTTCGCGTGAGACTCGGCCAGAGGCCCAGTTTTCCGCATCCGCAGGAACGCCACCACCCTCTTGGATCAAGGCGCAGATGCAGCTCCTGAGCGGCGGGAGGTGAGTAGATCAAACCCACCACAAAGTTGTCAAAGACCGAAAAATCCATGTGTCTTTACCACCATAATAAACAAACATAAATACAGCTGCAGTGGTGTCTTCAACTTCACTAGCATAGAAGACAGTTTAGTTGAGTTTAGCCGCTCTACTCCAAGCAATACATGGCTGGGGCAGCCAATGATCACTTTGCGTGGCGATTGCGGGTTTTTTTACAGCCGACCGCGGCTAGCAAGGAAAAGAGCAAGAGGTCGAAAAGAAAAGGAAAAGAAGAAGAAAAAGCAAAAATAGTTAATGTGGACTGCAATTGTGGTCTAAAGCAAGGCGTAACAAGGACGCATTAAGATCAATCTACATGTACACACACACAACAGAGGCGAAAGGCTGTGTAGCCCTAACTTTACGTTTCACGCATTTCAGCGATCATAA